CAGGTGTTTCAATCAATGGGATGATAATCAGGTGTGAGTGTGGGAGGTCCTGTCTTATTTCAAGAACAGCATTCTGGGTATTCTCTATCAGTCTGATCTTCACAACACAGGATATGGAATTATGTCATGGCTCGAACAAAGGAGATTTCTGAGTACCTCTGAAAAACAGTTGTTGATGCTCACCAGACTGGAAAAGGTTACAAAATTATTTCCAAAGAGTTTGGACTCCACCAGTTCACTGTCAGGCAGATCTTCTATGAATGAAGGAAATGCCACACACTGTTACCCTCCCCAGGAGTGGTCAACCAACCAAGATCACACCAAGAGCAAGGAATGTAACACTCTGGGAGGTCTCAAAGAACCCCAGGGTAATGTCTAAGGATTTAAAGGCCTCTCTTGCATTGGCAAATGTCAGTGTTCATGAGACCATCATCAGGAAAATACTGAACAATGGTGTGCATGGCACAGTTGCAAGGAGAAAGCCACTATTCTCCAAAAAGAACATGGGTGCCCATCTAATGTTTGTGAAAGACCACATGGATAAGCCAGAAAGCTATTGAAGAATGTTTCTGGACAGAGACCAAAATAGAACTTTTTGGCTTGAATGAAAAGTGCTATTATTGGTGAAGGCAAACCCTGCATTCCAGCATAAGAACCTCATCCCATCTGTGAAATATGGTAGTGGCAGTATCATGGTTTGGGCCTGCTTTGCTACCTCTGGACGAGGACGGCTTGCCATCATTGATGGAATTATAAATCCTGAATTATACCAGCAAATTCTATAGGAAAATGTCAGGGTATCTGTCTGTGAACTGAAGCTCAAGAGAAAGTGGGTCATGCAGCAAGACAATGACTCAAAACACACAAGTCATATGACCAAAGAATGGTTCAAGCAGAAGAAAGTTAATGTTTTGGAATAGCCAAGTTAAAGTCCTGACCTTAATCCTATAGAAATGTTGGGGAAAGTCCTGAAGTTCATGTGAGGAAGCCCATTAACATCCCTGAATTGAAGATATTCTGTAAGGAGAAATGGGTTAAAATTTCTCCAAGCCAATGCACAGGACTGATCAAGAGTTATTGGAAATGTTTAGTTGCAGTTATTGCTGTTCAAGGGGGGCACACCAGTTACTGAAAGCAAAGGTTTATATACTTTTGCCACACACAAATATGTAGCTTTGGATCATTTTCCTCAATAAATCAATGAGCAAGTATCTTTTTGACTCATTTGTTTAATTGGGTTCTCTTTATCCAGTTTTAGAACTTGTGTGGACAAGAAGTCACATTTTAGGTCATATTTATGCAAAAATATTTAAAATTCAAAAAAGTTCACGAACTTTTAAGTATCACTGTAGATCACACACCGACTCCTTTATGATGAATAAGAGCTCAATAAAACCTTCCCATATATTCTTCTCCAGCTCTACCCCATCAGTTCTACAATGAGATTTGCATCTGATCAAAGTTTTCATTTATTTCTGATAATTCTGAATCAGGACACTCTGGAGAAATGAATAAACTGCCTGAAGCAAAATGGTGTCTTCAGAAGCAATTAAAATATGATTGTGCTCTTCAAGGAACATAATGTGCTTGATATTTTCCTCTGAGATTTCAGGAAAGAAAAGAATGACAAGGTGTAAATTTGTTATTTGCAGGTCTATCTTGTACTGTGTTTCTTTCTATTTTAAATCACAATGTTTTAGTGAGAGACATAAGATTTTGTCAGGTGAGTTAGTATAAACTGAGCAGAAAACAGTGATATTCACTATAACTTATATTTTTTATAATTATAAATATAATAATATAGATAATTATTCACTATAACTTCCTTACTTCTGCACCTAACTTTGTGAAATTTTGTAGGTTTCTTTCCTAGGAATCTCTTAATTATTTGTGCCATGTCATAAAAACTATCCGCAAATCCACAGGATAAAGTGAAACTTTCCTTCCCCCATCTACATCATTATGTACGATTTACCTGTGTAACTTATTTGTTTGTCTTTCAAATACTTTCATTATTTCTATCATGCGGTTGTTCATCATTTCAATTGTTTCTGAACAATAATAAAAAATAGTTATTAGGATGATATCCAACATTTTGATCTAGAAATAGATGTCAAACAATTGTGCAGGATTGTGTAAAAATGTTGCTGCTACTACTATCACCATCAGTTGACATAATTGCTACTGCAAAATTATATAACACAAGCTAGAGGTAATCAAGTGCCAAGTCGATTAAGAAAGGGTCATAATTGTCATATAGGTAGTCCTTGAGCTACGACAGCAATTGGGACCAGAATTTCCATCTCTAAGTGATGCAGTCGTAAAGCATGATGTCACATGACTGCATCACTTAGCAACGGCAACCGCTGCAGTCCCTGTTGCTGTTGTTAAGCAAGAATCGTGGGTCATTAAGCAAGTACCTCCTCACAACTTCCTGCTGGCTTCCAACAACCAAAGTCAGCAGAGAAGCCGGCAGGAAGTTGCAAGTCCCAGGCAGCTTGCAAGCAGGCCAGCAGGCAGGCATCTGTTGCCAGGTGGGCAAGGGTATATGAATAGCAGGGGAAGGTGCATGAGTGGTGGGGGAGGCACAAGCACAGCAGGGCTTAGGGTGGCTGCTGCCAGGTGGGGGAGGGTGCACAAGAGTGCACAGGTGGCCAGGGTGGGTACACAAGTGGCCAGCAAGGTCCAAGAGTGAGGCTCAGGGAGGGTGAGTGTGTGTGGATGGCCAGCAATGGTATGCTGCAACTATTGTAAGCGCGAGCTGGTTACCAAGTGCCCAAATCGCAATCATGTGACTGCAGGGGTGCTGGGATGGCTGGAACTTCAAGGATCAGTTGTAACCACCACCCATTCAGTGGTGTCATATCTTTGAACAGTCACTGAACAAGTAGTGGTGAACTGAGGACTACTTGTAATTGAAAAGTACAGCTTGTGAAAGAAACATTTTCTGTTTGATCACAGTGAAGTGTTTATTGAACAGATTATGAATAGGATTACCCTTCTTATCACCGCCATATCCACCCTCCAAAATAACCAGTTTATGAAATGCATGAGAAATAGGCAGACTCCAGCTCTTCTTCAGCATATCCTCCAGTGCTACCTGTCATCTTCCTACTTTTGTTACATCATTTCAAACTTTGGCTGACATGGCAGCATATTAAATTTTATGACTTGGATCACTCCTGAGCTAAGTACTCTCTCTCTGTCTGACTGCTTTATTGACTAATTGGTGAACAGAAAACCTTTTCTGTCTAAACTACTAGCCATTTATTTGATTTATAATGGGCCAAAAAAAAAAAAAAAGACAGAGAAAACAAAATGCTCTCCTCTTCCTTGAGGGAGAATAGCCTAAAGGTAGTCCTCAACTTACGATCATTCATTCAGCGACCGTTCAAAGTTACAAAGGTGCTGAATTAATGGTGGATACAACTGGTCCTTGAAGTTACAGCCATCCCAGCACCCCCATGGTCACGTGATCACAATCTGGGCACTTGGCAACCCGTTCACACTTACGACCAGTTGCCAGGCACTCCACAATCACAAGATTGCTACCTGCAACATCCGCTGCCGGCTTCCTCAGAAAGTCAATGGGGAAGCTGGCAGGGAAGGTCGCAAATTGCTGGGGTAAGTCTCCCCCACTGGTGCATCATCCCCAGCCCCTCTGCGCTTGCATGTCAGCTACTCGCGCACCCTAACCCACATCGCACCCCCACGCACCCTCTGACCTGCACCGCACCTCATGCAACCTTGTGCACCCTTCCTAACCTACACAGCGCCTCACGCACTACCACACAATCCTGCATACCGCCGTGCACCCTTAACCTGTTTAGCACCTCTCGTGCTCCCCCAACCCATGCAACACCCCTCACGCACGTCCATGCACCCTCCCTGACTCACACGCCTCTCACACACACCCTTGCGCACCCTTCCCAACCCTCTCAAGCACCCCTTCACTCCCTCCCCCACCCGGCAGCCACTTACCCGCCTGCCAGCCTGGGACTTACAACTTTCTGCTGGCTTCCCCTCTGGCTTTGGTTGTGGGAAGCCAGCAGGAAGCTGCCTTACCGAACGACCATGGGGTTCAGTTAACAGCAGCAACCAGGCCCATAAGGATTCCCATTGCTAAGTGATGTCACACTTTACAACCGCATCCCTTAGCAATGGAAATTCCAGTCCCAGTTGCTGTCATAAGTCGAGGACTATCTGTATTGAATTGGCAGCAGAGCAGCTAATAGTTCCAGCTGAGTCTTGTCCAGATTGAAATGAAAAATAAAACTAAATTGAATTTCTCACTACTCTAAAAGCTTTTTCACCTGATATGCAAACTTTTATAATATGGACTTTCAGGATTTGAATCAAATATTTGTTATCTTAAGATCTAAAACTGAAATTATGTATTATATGGGTTTATATTCCATTCAGTTCAAAACTTAGTCCCAATGTTGTGAGATTCTACAGACAGTACTACATCATGCATTTGTCAGGACAATTTGGATTTATTAAATGGAAACTAAAGAAAATAATGATTTTTTGCCTCCAGTAAGACTTGGCTGCCATTAAATAAAAAGGGATCAAATCCTATTTTCTCTTTTCAGCATGGATACAGGCATGAAAAGTTTTATGAGCCAGATGCTGTTAATAAGTTAACTGTCATAGGATCATCTGAAATATAATAATAGATTTTTAATGTTTTTTCAAGAAATTAATATTCTACTACAAATTATCTCTAATCTAATAGGTTGGTTGATCAAACATACAAAAGAAATTCAAAATCTCTTAAAGGTGTAGTAAGCTTGATTATCAGGTACTAAAAATTTCTGGTGGAACAAGAAATGAGTGGTTCAAAAAGATAGTTTTTTAATACTGATTATGTTTTAATAAATTTACCGCATTTATTATTATAGTCCAACTAAGGATTATCCAGCTATTTTACATAAATATTTTCAAAATCTTTTTACTTTTGCTGTATCTGTAAATTTTAAATTCTTTTTTTTAATTTGGAACCAACTTAATCTAATTCTAACATGAATTAGATGAATATGAAAAGTACTGATTGCAGAAGAAAAGTGAGCAGCTAATGGTATGCACACCTTTTCCTATTTGAAAGACTTTTCCCTTCCAGATGATAAGTGCATTTCGTCTGTAGACCAACAGTTGATGGGTAATACAAATCTTATTTCTTATGCCTTTGCCTTTTTGGACATGATATCAGCATAGCATGACCTCAGACTTGTGATCACAAGGTTAGCCACTGGTGCTATATGATAACTGGAATAATTTAGTTATATTAGATAACATCCTTATCTGCCTTTGATGAGGCTTCCAGCTACTGACAGTATGTAAGAAGAGATGAGCCTCAGTAGAGATCATCCCAGAAAGGATGCTGTAGCTAGTCAAAATAATCTGAGAAAATGGGCAGCGTTGAGTTTCAGGGTTTAGTGACCGTGGTCTAGACAGTAGATTTCCTGGTTTCTTGCTAGCAACTGTGGCTGGCATCTTCAGAGGACTGGGCACAAAGAAAGAATCAATCATGACCAGCCCTCACCAACCTGCACCAATTAGAAACCAGCTCAGGTAAACACCAATCAAAAGTCTGGTCACCTGGCTCTAAAGACAGGAGCCCAGTCAGTCCCAGTTCAGTTGCCTGTGGTCTGCATAGAAGGCCACCTTGCCCCTGAAGATGCCAGCCACAGTTGCTAATGAAATGTCAGGAAATCTGCTGTCTAGATCACAGTCACTAAACCCTGAAGCTCAACACTGGCCAAGAGATGCCAGTCGTGAAAGTCTATGCCAGTATAAATCTGGGAAATATCTGTAGCTCCCTTTGGTGAGAACGATGGGGTCTCAGCTACCAAACAGATATGAGATGCTATCCTGCATTTATACTATTCTATTGAAAGTTGCCATATCTTGTTTTATTGCTTTGTCTAGAATATCTCTAAATCATGCTTTGCAGTTAATTATTCTTTTGCTATGCTTTGCTTAATAAACCTTTCAGCTTTTACCACATTTGTGTTTATTGCTTCTGAATCCACAAACCTCCTGCACATATTTTAATGTGGCAAAACAAGTTGCAATTTAAACTTATAAATCAAAGTTTAATTTGATAAATATGACAACTTTTTAATCCTTTCCAACAAGAGTATTTTTATACATCAGAGTTGTTCTCTGATAATTTATAATAGATAATTTTCTAATATCTTGATTTTTAGTTAAATTGATTACTAAATGTAATATAGGTACCATAATTTTATCAAATCATGTCCCATTAACAATATTAATTACCACAAGAATTGTTCATTTTTTTCTAAAAGGCATTTGAACATATCTTTATTAAAGAATCCATTTTTTTATAAAAACAGACGCAACAAGAATTTGAATATTTTTTTTTATAAACAGACACTTGGACAAAGTACTAGTTGTCTGACATGTCTTCAAGGCATACATACATGTTGAATATTGCTTATGCTTTATGGAAAAATATAAAAGTTAAGTATGGGAAAAGGTTAAGGAACTTTTCAAGTACATATGCAAAACAAATTATACCAGAATTATATAAAATTTTTATAAATGATAAATTGATAATGAAAAGTTCCCTTTAGTACTTGAAACAATATTCACTTAATTGCATAAAGCAAAAATATTCGTAGGAAGGTGAAAGACCTGGTATATTAATAACTTCTGACTTAAAGGCACTGCAACCATGTAATATTTTATTTACTCTGATAAAATACAAGTAGCCCTCGTTTAGCAACCACAACTGGGACCAGCAACTTGATTGTTAAGCGAAGCAGCCACTAAGTGAAAGTACAACTGTGCTGATGATCTTACTTCAGCTTTCCTTTGCTTTACAGACCTGTAACGGCCATAAATGCAAGGACTGGTTGAAAGTAACTTTTTTATCACCATCGTAACTGCGAACAGTCACTGCACATAGCAGTCGCTAAACAAGGACTACCTGTATATAATGGTTCTGACTCAATAAATTATCATTTTTTATATTTTTGCTCTGTATTACACAATAGTGAGTTAAATTTAATCAAGAGAGAAA